TGGGGAGGAGGTGGATGAGGGGGGTGAGAGGCAGGGGGAGGGGAAGGAGGAGGAGGAGGAGGATGAGGAGGAGGAGGAGGACACGGAGGAGGAGGAGGAGGATGAGGAGGGAGGAGGAGGGATGCGGAGGCGGAGGAGGAGAATCAGGAGGAGGAGGCGTAGGAGGGGAGGCGGGGGGGAGACAGACGGAGGAGAAGGCAGATGAGGATGATTAGGAGGAGGATGATGAGGAGGAAGAGGAAATTCGAGGAGGGGGGGAGAGTGCGGTTGATGATGCGGAGGAGGAGGCGCAGGATGGTGATGCTTGTGATGATGATGATGATGATGATGATACTGGTGATGGTGATGATGATAATGATAATGATGATGCTGATGATGATGCTGATGATGCTGCTGCTGTTGATGATGATGATGATCATGATGATGATGATGATGTTGCTGATGATGATGCTGATGCTGATGCTGGTGAAGAAGGTGGTAATGCTGTTGATAGCGATGCTGATGATGATGGCGATGATGCTGATGCAGATGATGATTCTGCTTATGCTGATGATGATGCTGATGATGCCAATGATGATGCTGCTGCTGACGATGACTATGCTGATGCTGCTGGTGCTGATGCTGATGATGGTGATGGTGATGCTAGTTATGCTTGCGATGATGACGATGCTGCTGATAATGGTAATGGTGGTGATGGTGATTATGCTGATGATGATGCTGCTGCTGATGATGCTGACGCTGATGCTGATGCTGCTAATGGTTATGGCGGTGATGATGATGCTGCTGCTGATGATGATTATGTCTATGATGCTGATGTTGCTGCTGCTGATGATGATGCTGCTGATGATGATGATGATGACGAGGATGGTGATGATGATGATGATGATGATGATGATGATGATGATGATGATGATGATGATGATGATGATACGCGGCGGTTCTGATCATGATGATGATGATGTTGCTGGTGTCGATGCTGGTGATGCTGTTGATTATGATGCTGATGCTGATGATGATGCTGTTTCTGATGATGGTACTGATCCTGATGATGCTGATACTGATGCTGATGCTGATGCCGTTGATGGTTAGTTTGATGATAATGATGCTGATGCTGCTGATGCTGATGTTGATGCTGATGATGATGATGCGGTTGATGATGATGATGATGATGCGGATGGTGATGATAACGATGGCGATGACGATGGTGCTGCTGATGATGATTCTGATGCTGATGATGAGGCTGATGCTGATGCTGCTGCTGATGTTGATGATCATGCTGATGCTGATGATGATGCTGACGCTGCTTCTGATGAGAATTCATTTTAAGAGGATGAGGATGCTGATGATGGTGATGATGCTGATGATGATGATTCTCATGCTGATGCTGCTGATGATGCTGATGCTGATGCTGATGCTGATGCTGATGCTGATGCTGATGATGATGCTGGCGATACTGATGATGCTGATATTGTGATGATGATGATGTTAAGGACGGTTATGATGATGCTGATGCTGCTGTTGATGCTGCGGATGATGCTGCTGATGCTGCTGCTGATCATGATGATGCTGATGATGCTGATTTGTGATGCTAATGGTGGTGATGATGACGATGATGATGCTGATGATGCTGATGACCATGGCGACGATTATGAGGCAGCTGCTGATGATGCTGGTGCTGATGATGATGCTGCTGACTATGATGATGCTGGTGATGCTGACGATGCTTATGATGCTGCTGCTGCTGATGCTGATTTTGACGGTGATGCGGCTGATGCTGATGATGATGACGATGATGATGATGCTGATGTGATGATGCTGATGTGATGATGCTGATGATGTTGACGATGCTGGAAAGGATGATGCCGATGATGCTGCTGCTGCTGATGATGATGCTGATCATGATGATGGTGATGATGATGATGACGATGCTGATGATGACGCTGCTGATACTGATGGTACTGATGATGCTGATGATGATGGCGATGATGCTGATGATGATGCTGCTTATGCTGATGATGAAGAAAATGATGCTTTTGCTGATGATGCTGATGATGATGATGAGGATGCTGGTGATGCTGATGATGACGATGATGATATGATGATTCTGCTGCTGCTGATGATGATGATGATGGTGCTGATGATGATGATGATGATGACGATGAGGTTGTTGATGACGATGGCGATGATGATGATGATGCTGATGATGATGATGATGATGATGATGATGCTGATGATGATGATGACGATGCTGATGCAGATGCTGATGCTGATGATGATGATGATGATGATGGTGATGGTGATGGTGATGGTCATGGTCATGATGATGATGATGATGATGATGATGGTGATGCTGATGCTAATGCTGATGCTGATGATGATGACGACGAAGCTGCTGATGATGGTGATGATGACTCTGATGATGACGATGATGA